CAACTGTGGATACAGAGCGGATAATATTCTTTGTTATCATCAAATATAATATTACATTTACTCTTGAGAGATAATCGACTCCACTTATTTTGATCAAAATAACAGCTGGAAAAACATAATCTTCTTTCTTGCAGCAAAATTACCACAATTGTTTCAAATAAGCCGTCCCGCTGAGATCCCGAAGGCATCAAGGATTCTATCATCAGATGGTAAAGTGCAAAAGCTTTATATATATAAATAATACCATCACATCTTTTTTAGAATAAAGTCCAACTTTTTTTTCTTAAAAAGAACATGGCGCCGGAAGATCTTATGAAGTGAAGCTTCAGGGATTCAAAAGCTTCCTCCTTCCTCTCTCCAGTCTTGAAAGACATCCTGTGTTCGGTGAATGTACAGCCCCTGAAAGCCATACGGATATTTCTGTCCAGCTAATCTTGCTCGCAAATATGCAGGCAGTCGCCAGCTCCGAGAGCGACACACTCTGTTGACATTGAACACCCAGAATGTGTGGCATTTACATTTGATGGCTTTGCAGGAGTGGAAATGTGTAAAGAATAAAGGTTTATTTCAAGTGCAAATGCCACTGCAGCACACACATGAACGATTCTTGTGTTTGCATTCCCACACAGGGCTTTAAAATGTGAACCCTGATATGAGACTTTCTGTTTGGCGTCGCGCTAGTGTCATTTGCTGCTTTGTTTCATTTCCGCTTCTATTTTCAGGAAGAGCCCGTTCTGTAAAATAAAGCGCCAACAACCAAATAACCACCGGCTGCTCACAGAAAAACACCAGTTAATAATAATGATGATGTATTCCTCTCTGTTCTGCTTTAAAGAGGGTGTGGAATAGGCGCGTGATTTACAGGCCTGCATCTGGAGTTTTTAGTTCAGATGTCATCAGTTTCAGCGGCTGCTGTGATAACGCCGAAGCACGCCGATTACTAAGGGACAGCAACCGTGTGCCAAATTGCACGGCGCTCCAGCCAGTTGATGCAGGACTCGTTCACTCTGGATCAAAAATCAACCTGCTGGTGGAAATGAAGCTGGAGGATCAGCATGGTGGAGAAATGCATCAACTGTGAACTTTAGAGCAGTTTTAGTTTTTGCCAATCCATCCAGTAGTACAACCACCTACTGACACACAAATGCAGTGCTGGGTTTATTCATGAGCAACTACTTTACAACAAGATCAATTTCAAGGATGAATATTAAAGCCCCCAAGTGTCCAATCAAGCACTTTAATTACACACCGCACTACCTAAACTTAACCTTTGGCTACATGCTTTGCAAATGTCAGCCCGTCTTCCTGCACTGGCATAAAACCACTACAGAATCCACTAGGAGTGCATTACTTGCTCTATGCAGAGATTTGGCTGTAAAGGAGCTGGGGGAAGATGCCATGAGGACATCTGGTCTGGAGAATGGATGGATGAATACGTGAATGAGGGCGAAGATGGACAGCTGGATGGATAATAGCCTTTCTATATGAATCTATTCCCACCACAGACTATGGAGAAACGCATAGAGAGCATCTGGGAAATTCGAGACTTGGATTTGGATTCACCATTTATCAACATTACCGAAGCCACGAAACCAAAAAAATGCCAAATGCGAACACTGGCACAGTCAAATATGTCTGCAAAGAGTCTTTGATTTTTTTTCTTTCTAGAAATTGAAAGCTCAGGATTGAATTTGAGACACTTATTGCAGTTAAAAAGACAAATAACTTGCAGTGCTTCACTTGGGTTTTGTGCAATTTGTCACTGTGATTTTGCATTTAGCAATCCATACAGCATGCATATATGTGGGAAATTATATGTTTTCCCCCTAAGCTTTCCCCCCTCTCAGTAAAATTAAAAACCAAACAAAACAGAACCTTTTATTTAGAAAAGAAAAGGTTTTTATGTTTTCTTTACAGAAATAAAGTCCAGCTTTATTTGATGCAGAAAGGACACATGTTGATGCTTAAAAATTCACCACAATCCACGGAGGAAATTAATTTTCTGACACTAAAAAAAATTCTAATTGGAAACCCCCAGGCGGCACGCTTAATATGTCCTCTTTCCCACCAGCGTGCGAGTGAAACCTGTGCCCATGCATATGCATATTCTTCTAATGATCGTTGGCTCTCTGTGAAACACACTGTATTCCCCATGCAATGAAATGTGTTATATAAATAAAGATTTGCTTTACTGCTTGAGCTGTTAATTATCCCACCTGGCTGTACATATAATAAGTAAAATTATGCCAAAATGCCAGAGCACACGAGCGACAACCTTCAACTTTTTCAGTTCAAGCCCATCTCTAAATGTTGCCAAAGCAGCCTTGCGTATTTCCATACAGTAAGGGCAAAAATGGCATTTAGAGCTTTAACACTAAACCCACTATTTTATTGTCTCTCTGCACTTGACGCTACAACGCTGAAGAGATTTTGGAGATTTAAAAAAGCAATAAAAACAGTCTGAGTAGGTCACAGACTGAATTAAACCCCCATTTTCTTCCAGTGTT